AGCGAAAACATGCAGTTAAAAGAAGATCAGCCAATCATTCCACGGATGCGGTTGGCTGGCTGCTCAGTCTTTGCTATTGGACAGTGGCAGCAGCCAATGAATGGGACTGTTTAATTAACTGAAATCGCACAGACGCACGGTATGCGACTTGAAGAATATTTGACTGCCTGAAATATGCAGAAAATCGAGGGTGTTACAAAAAGAAACATCAAAACACGTACAGTATACGGCCCAGCACATCAAACGTGGTTGCAGCAACCGAGGTAAGCGTTCTGCAACAACTAAGACATTGTGCATTTTACTTATTAGTCTAATTAGGCGAAAGTTGTACAAATCTGGACTTCACCCTTGTTAAGAATTTCTCTTGGTACTTCTAATTAACATGAACGCCGAACCAAAGAGCCCGTACGAGAGAGACAGAGAAAAGACCAGTCGGCCAGAGAGAGAAAGAGAGAGAGGGAGAGAGAGAGAGTGCGTTTATTCAGACAAGCACTTTAAGCAAGTCAGCACAAGTCTTTGAGGGTAAAAGGCACAAAATATGTAGGTCAACAAACGATTGCAAGCTAGGTCCATCGAGCCAATCAGCTTCAGTTCTGGCTCGGCTACTGGCACGATAGGCTGTGACTCAGCGCCTGGATGCAGTTTAAATTTTGGATTATTGATTGCTTGATTGCCTGCATGCGTTCGCCTCGTGTAGGCCGATCGATAGCCTGCTGTGAGTGCGGCTGCTTGCGGCATGCACCCAAAAACCCTACACTCGACCAACTTCCTACGCTAAGAACTAGCCTAGACCCAGTTTGTGCCACTGTGTGTGTTCGTTGATTTAAGTGAAAACATAGTCATCTAAGCTGGAAACGTCGAGCAAACTCATTGCTATCCACTTAAAAATTAAGTAAGTTGGGTGTGAGTCAGAATGTGAACAAGAAACTCCTTGGATTTACAAAATTCATCTTCTCAAGTCTATGCGATTACATACTCCAAATAAGCCGTAACAATGCCTGTAGAAGTTCACTGAACAGTATCTGCCGATAATATCAGTTTTCCGAAGATCTTCGACAACTTCGCCGGGTGAAGGACAGAATTTCCGAATCACAGCTATAGCTGCCAGCATTACGAAGCGGTCAACCAGTCCCTCTCCTGTTACAGCTGCAGGATACACTTCGATTAAGTTGAGTTCTACCCACTCACTGTGCCCTATAATCATGTATTAGATCAGAAGAATACAACCGACAAAGACAAGGGAGGCTGGAATGGCCATTTCTGACTTAATAGCCGTCCTCAGCCAGCCACACCAGC